TGTGGAGCAAAGTGTGCCCAGGAGATCAGGTCTCCCTGGTGCTTCTGGGGTGAATTCAGTGCCCAGGCTGAGGGCTGGGTTGGCACAGGGGATGTTTTACCCTGGGAGGGGGTTTGATCTGCCAGTGGGAGCTGCCTTTTGTCAGCCTTGCAGTGGGATTTCCAACAGCATCAGAGCTTCCAGGAAAAGCAGTGCAGGCTGTTATGGCAGGATTAAACCTCTCCAGACCCACAGTGCTGCACTTTTCTTGCCAATGGATTAAATGTGTGGCTTCCTGTGAGATTGCTGCTCATTTCACTGGCCATCAACAGCCTCTGCCTGCTCAGACACTTCAGCTGTGACCAAGTTCACAGGAATCACAAGAGCCAAACCTGGAAATGAGCATTTCTGTCTTCTTTTACTGCCCTCCAGCACAGTCCAGACTGAACTGGGTGGAGCTTTCTAAAAGTATTTTTAAAGTCTTTTAAAAGCTTGTTGCTGGCACGTGACAGAAACAACCCTGGAAATCCTGCCCTGGATCCCAGGATTTGGTTGTCAAAGCAGGAGTTTGATGGGGGTGAAGCCTCTGGTGTGTAATGAATCTGGGGGGGAGGTGAGGGCTGGAGGACACCAGGAAGGGCAGGACTGGGAGAAACAGGAATGTTTTGTACCTTGGGAGCCTCATCCCAGCACGGGAGAGCACCAGGGAGGGGAGGAAGCACCATCCTGTCCCACTGAGCCTTCCAGGCTCCCCTTCCAGCCCCTCTCTGGAGCTCTTGGGAAAGCCAAGCTCGTGAGCTGAGCTCTTGGATGGGGAGGCAGAAGAGTCTGGAGCCCTCTCTGAATTCTCCTGGTGAAGCTGCTGCTGTTCAGTGCCCCTCCAGCCCCTGGGAATGCCTGAGGTGGCTTTGCCCAGAGGATTTGGAGCAGCAGGATCCTGGGCTCAGCTTTCCCTGCCCCAGGGACCTTGTGCCCCCCCAGCTGGGGTGGGATGAGGGAAAACTGAGCAGAGACTCCAACAACCAGCCCCTCAGTGGGCAGGGACAGCCCTGGGGGGTCCCTGCAGGAAACAAAACCCTGGATCCCACCAGCCTCGGGAAACAATGGTTGTGATCTTCTCCTTCTAAGGGTAAAAATACACCTCTTTCCATAGCACTTTCCTGGATTTCAAAGCCTTGGAAGGGAAGGCTTCAGCTCAAATTGCTTTTCTCCTGGGATAGGAGTGAAGATTACAATCCTTTTGCTGCTTTTTCCCAAAGAAAAAGCAAGGAAAATTCACATAGGTGTCACCCAGGGAGCAGATTCCCTCTTCCCATTCCTGCCTGGCTTTACCCAAGGCATCTGCAGGGCCATAAGTCACCTCATTTCGAGCATTTATGGCTCTGCATTGTCTCCAGTGGGATTCCTGATGGGAAACAAAGCCCTTTCCAGCATCAGGGCTTGGCTGTGCTTCCCACATCCCCTTGACATGCAATCTTCCCATTCTCTGGGAAGGAATGGCAGGGAGAGGGGGCTTGGGTTGCTGCCAGAGCCCTTCCCCAAGGAGTGGGCAGTGCCCACGAGCTGTGCCCAGGGCGGGGTGGCACAGGGAGGGACCCTCCTGCCTGGGGGTCACCTGGGTGGGCAGTGCCAGCCTGAAACCCCACCCCAAAGCCACAGGCAGCAACAGGCACCTGGGAGAGGCTCTTCCATCAGTCCCAAGGGGACAGAGGATCCACCTTGGCATCCAGAAAGTGCCTTCCCCTCTTCCACCCCAACAGCTTCGCTCCAGCTCTCACGGGTTTGGCTCTCGGGGTGTTTTTGCTGAGGGTCCCACTTTTAGAGTGGGGCACTTCTGTGCCAACTCTGCTCCAAACATGCCTTAAAATCCCTTGAAATAGTGCAATTACAGAGTTAAATAACAAACAGCAGCAGAAGGAGGGAGGAATTCAAAGGAACAGGCCTGGAGCTGCATTTGCAGGTGAAGCCGGGAGGGAGTTGGTGGGACATGGGAAGGTGGTTCCAGAGGGAAGGAGCTGCAGAGGGGATGGATCTCACACCAGCAGGAGGGCTCCAGGAGGTGGGAAAGGGGTAGAAGCAGTGGAAGAATAGGAAGGAGAGAGAGGAATCATGTGTGGAAAGGGCAGGATTGAAACAATAGGGAAAGGCTGCATCCCAACTACCATGTGTTGCCCCAAGAGCAATGGACAGCCTGGGAGAGGGGGGATTCAGCCAAGACCTGAGCTTGGGCAGGTAGTAGAGACATGGAGGGTCTCTGTACATCCCTCAGATGTATTTTCCCTCCTTGCTTTCCCCTGTGGGATTTCCAGGATTGTTTAACCTCTCTGGAGTCACAGGAAGGTCTGAGCTGGGAGGGACCCACGGGGACCATCGAGTCCACCCAGGGGATTGAACCCTGAGCTTGGCTTTGGTAGCACCAGGTTTTACCCAGCTGAGCTCATCTCAGGCTCATCCCTTAAACTGAATCCTATCAGGGTGTGTTTAGGGCATCCTGCCCTTGCTTTCCCAGGAAGGAGTGATCTGTTCTGCTCCACCTGGAATGGCTCTCCCTGCTCCCTGCACAGGGTCAGGAGGTGTTTGAGGGGAGGCAAAATTCAGCCCTGCAAATACACCAATGAGACATCAGGAGAGGCGGGGAAACATGGGCTGTTTTCCATCCCAAAAGTCCATCATTTCTCCTGGGGGATGCAGCTCCCACTGAGCCCCTTCTGGAGAACATCCCCAGGTTCTCCTGCTCTGTTTTCCAGAGGGTTTTCTCAGCCTGTGTGCAAGTGGAAGTGGTATTTACCCAGGCACAGACATCTTTCACTGTCTTAAATGTTTAAGACACTCTTAAACCATCTTAAATGTTTCTTCTTGCACACACAGCTGCCTGGTCACCCTTAGCCAGCCCTGGGCAGGCAGGGTGGGAGTCAGGAGGAGCTGGAAGGCTGGAAGCAGCCAGGGAAGGCCTGGTTTGGGGCAGCCCCCCATGAAAAGCCTGCAGCATTGATTCCAACACCCCCTTTGGCTGCTTCCACCTTCATTCAGAATGAAATGGGGAGGAAAAAAAAAAAAGCATAATGAGAAAAAAGCCTAATGGTTCCAGTTCTGCCCCAAGGGCTGTGTTTTGTCCAGGTGAGTTGGAGGCATTTCCACTGCAGGGCCATTCAGGGCTGGGAAGGGATTTAGACCCAGAGCATCACAGGAAAGCCAAACATCAGTATTGGTAAATAGCAGCTCCTGGGTTTTTTTGGCAAACAGACTCCAAATCTGTGCCCTGTGCCCTGCCAGGGATGAAAAGAGAGGGGAGAAAGTGAGATTTCATATTCACTTACAATTTTTTGTCCACTTGCTGAGTGCAAAGACCTTCAGGCTCAAGTGTTCTACAGGATGTAGCGTGGAGGATCTCCAGTCCCTGGGGGAAGGAACAGGACCAGAAGTAATAACAACCTTGGATGACAGGGTTTTAATTAAAATAAACCCCTGTCTTGGCTTAAAATGCTTTTGGAAGTCAGAACAAGTTTGAATGGTTAAACAGCAAGGCTGCAACTGCACCATGAGCAGAATAAATCCCGTGCCCAGCAGCACTGATGAGATTATTTTGAAAAGTCAATATTTTGTACAGGGATCATCTGAGAGGCCTGATTATGTTCCCCCCCACCCTTTCTCCCTTCACTGTGTGCACGTGGAAGCTGCAGGGAACAGCATTTCCTCCTGTGCTGGAGCATTGGAGCTGTGGCAGCTTTGTCCTGCACCAGGGGATGGGGCTGGACCATCCACTCAGCTGTGGTGTCCCTTCAGTGCTCAGGAGCAGCCTGGTTATTTGGGGATAAAATATTTATTTGGGGATATATAAAGCTGCTTTGCAGGAGCAGGAAGAGCAGAATACCAACACAGGGGCTCTGCTGCTCAGAGTTCACACTTCCCCACTGGAGAGGTGTCTCTGCAGTTCTGGGGGGACAGGCAGGACTGGGGATGTGGGTCCTGCACAGCAGGTGGCAGGTTGGACTCCATGATCCTTGGGGGTCCCTTCCAGCTCAGCACATCCTGGGAGTCTGGGACTCAGGGATGCAGAGATGCCTCGTGCTTCAAAAGTGCCAGTTTTACTCCAGGTGGTAAAAAGAAAGTCTGGAAAAGTGGCTCAGGTGTTGTGTGCACTGGGGACACTCAAAGCCACCTGAGAGCTCCCAGCAAGGCTTTCAAGGACCTTCCTGATTTATGTACAATGGACCTGCCCTGTTGGTGCCAAGACCATTACCAGCAGAAGG